GAGTTTCCTTGGAATCGTTTGGCTCTTGTTTCTTCATTAATACAACTTCCCTATTTCTTCTCCATTTCATCTACTGTTCATTACTACTCTGTTTTCTATTCTCTATCATTAATTCCAAATTGATCATGTATGTTCTTATCAGGGTCTAGATTGCAAGTTCGTGGATGAAAACAGACTACATTAAATTTATAAATGTTACTTAAGTTGTTTGATGGTACTATTGCATTTTACAAAATTGGCAGTACATGGAATGGTGTTAAAACTAAGATTGCCGAGGAGTTTATTTTATATAACATGGAAAGGTGGTTGAGTTTATATGTGATTCTTAACCCCTAGGTCTAAAATTGTGGTGGCCACTATGGACGTATTTGAGACGATGAATTTACTTTTTGATTTATTGTGTTAGGCAAGTTGTTTCAACTTTGAACAGCAATCGTCTTCTTTTCAAGTTGATGGCTTAGCAAACCTTTTTCTCCCACATAATCTCTTCTGTTTTGAGCTTTTTTGGTTCTGCTTGTGGCTTGAGAAACACAAAAAATTACAGGCTGCCTTGTATTTATCATGCAGCTATGTGAAGTGAACAGGACTTTGTACACCTTTTGTAGATGGAGAAGATGGATGTGTTTAAGTTTGTCTGTTTGCTAACTTGATTGTAATTCTGTTTGATGGTATGAAGCCAAGGTTAACAGCTTTCTTTTCCATGTGAAAGCACATATAGTTATGTTTAGAAATCGATTGATGCTTACTTGTGTATGGTAACAATAAATTGATGAAGGTTTTTGTGGGAATTACAGGTTTTGGTATGTGTGAAGAACGATGAAAAATATATGATTTTAAAATTGAGAATCTGTTACTAGCCTATTATATATATATATATATATATATATATATATATGTATATATATATATTGCAATAAGTTTAGAGTAATTGATTTCCGATGCTATCCTGTCTCCCCATTTCAACAGCACCATAGGGTACCATGTTTACCTGGTAGGCTGTTGTATCTTCTAATTCTGAAATGATATGTAATATATTCATAACTAGCAAGTATTGGTGAAGAGGGCCCTTTAATATAAAAGGATTTTGGGAACATCTGGATTGGTGGTGGAAGTAGTCTGAAGCTGGTTAAATGATCTGGGCAGGAAAATTGTTTGTGCAGATACTCTTTTCAATGGGTGGTGAAAGGAAGTAACTTCAAAGAAAACACTCAAAACAGTGTCAACTGTTCAAGTCCTTCTGTTTCATCTTAAATTACCTGATTATGGAATTCCCTCCCCACTTCTGCTTATTTTATCCAATAGCGCCAATCATATTGACTCAAGACAAAATCTGTACTTTCTATGCAGGTGGAATACTATCTGAGTGATGAAAATTTGAAAACCGACAAGTTCTTGTTGAAATATCTTGCAAAGGACGAGGAAGGCTACGGTAAGTAACTCATTACTTAGTTGGATGAGTATGATTGAATATCAGGCTTTTGGCTAGTTCCTATTTGTTTTTTAAGTACTTGTTTTGGGTAGTAGTTCCCTGATTATCTAGCTTCAGACCTTACCTTTTTTAGTCCCTTTGCATGGTTTGAGATGAGTGATTACAGCACTTGTTAGATTTTAATGGGATAAAGCTGGCTTCGTCTTCAGATGGGCAGTTTGGTTCTTAGTAACAACTGTATAAATGACTTAAAATTCACCTGTGAATCACATTCTGTTGGTGCAATACACATGTGTAAATGACTTCAGAAGATTCACAAAAAATTTAAGCTGCACAGGTAGTTGGGATGCTAGCATCAGTCTTTGGCAAATTTCCTTTGATTATTTTACCCTTTGCTTTTTACTTCATGAAGTTAGAAGTGGATTAGATATTCCTTTTTGGAAAGATTGCTGACTTGCTTATAGGTCACGAAGTTTCTTTTAAACATCATCAATATTGCTCTTATGATGCTTCGTGCAAATATATTGAATATTTCTTTTTCTATTTGGTGGGGGGTTTTCCACGTCCATACTGGAAGCCTTTCTTAACTCACCAAAATAAATCAAATCTTTAGTAATGCGCTTCTTTTTGAATGGAAAATCTGTTCAAAATCTAGGCTTTATACTGGCCCTCCATGCGTTTTAGACCTAATCAAAGGCATGTAGCCTTTTCTAGAAATTAACGATGCATCCTTGGTGCTGGTGAGCCTTATATTATGTTTCTCTATAGTCTGTTGCTTGGTACGTGACATAACACATTATATATTCGTGACAGAGCTTTGGGTTGTCCTCTATACATGGCGAGGTTACTTCTATAGGTTTTAGATATATTTAGATTTTAGAATGTAAATTTTATGGCCACGATGTGGTTAATATTTACTAATCATTCTTCTTATCGTGTTTCTGTATTTCTGTATCATGGATTTTTAAACCAAAAGAAAAGGAAAGAATCATTCTTGATTATCAGATGATTGATATACTACAGGAAAGAGTTTAAATCAAAAGAAAAGGAAAGAATCTTTCTTGATAATCAGATGATTGATAAAGAATCTTTCTTGATAATCAGATGATTGATAAACGAAAATAATACTTCTGCATTCTGCAGGAAGTGAACTGTTTTCTGTTTTAGATATGACCTGTACCTATACTTGTAACAAGTCCTAGCCACCTGACACATGTACATTGCCAATATGATCATTCTTTGTCTTGTATTCCACCAGAGGATGAGAAACCCCCTTCCTCCGAACCTGTATTATGTTATGGACAAGAACTTTATTAATCTGCCTTTAACAAAAATAAGGGCATTATGTCTCTTCGTAAGTTCCATAGTAGTAGATTGAAGTTGGTGATACCATTTTAAAAGAATGTGCAGGTACTTTTTGGTATAAAAATCGGAGCTCAAAATCTTCATTTAGCAGGAGCATTGACTAAATATGACAAAAATTCTTCAGGGATGTAACATACTGTTTCTTGCAGTTCCGGTTGCAGTTATTGCTTCTTTTAAGAAAATGAAGAAGCTGACACATCACAAATCTCTAATTGTGGCTGCACTGAAGGAATCTTCTCTTCTGGTAAACTACAGGACTCATGACTTCGTACTGTCTATGATTTTACTAATATAGTCAGCAAGTGCTTTAGCATGAATTTGTTCTCTCTTTTCTATTGATTGTCACCTAATTCTATAAATTTGTGATTATCATGCCCGACATAGTGTTGGCAGTAATCAAAACTAGAGTTTGTATTGATGGCTGCAGACTTTAAGTTCAAATGAGAAGAGGGTTAAGCGAGTTCATCCGTTCCCTTTGACTGAGGTTTTGGATCCAGAGGTTACTCTCCTTTTTTGCATTTCTTTTATTGAAAAATGGAAGAGTCTCTTTGGCATGATATCTTATGACATAGTTCTTTCTTCATACATAGCTATGCACCGTTCTGGTGGAGAATCTCCCAGAGGATCACACAATAGAGAACATGAAGAAAATATTTGGCAAAGCTGGAATGTATGCCTCCTTTCCATCTCTTGTGTTACAACTTACAATTTCTCCCGGTATCAATTGTCTCATAACTAGAATCGTTCTTTAGCATCAAGAAGATTACCATTCATGAAGAAAATGCTACAAGGGAGCCTAAGAAATGCAGTATTGAAGAGAAGCTTCTAAGTGGTAAGGTATGGTACATTAGCGGGATGCAAATGTTATGCCTATATTTTAGATTATGTTTTCTTGTACCTGTAGATCATAATGTCTAGTTAATAACTTCTGGATACATGGTTTGTGAGTTTGTGGTGTGCTTCTAGGAAGCAGTGGTGCTTCTACTTCTTGCCAATTTCTTGTATCGGATTGCTTTGCGGATGCAGTACGTTAGGGGCGTGGTAGGGTGTGCACCCCATGCGGCATTGATTATATCCCCGAATTATTGACATTAATTCACATGGAGCATCAGGATACACAAGGGGACCTTTTGATCTTGTTTTACCATTAGATAGTTAAAATTCATGATATGCAAAATTAGAAATAAATGCTAAAATAAAAAAACAAGCTTAAGTTCCATGATTGTGAAGGAGAAAAGTTCGGACAACACAATAAATTATATTTTCTAATGGCGTAGACTAATATGTAAACACTTGGTAGAAAGAAAGCTGATGGTACAACTTAGGTTTTAGTGTGTTCTTACATATTAAATGGATAAATAATGAAATAGCTTCTTTCTTTTGTTGCTGTATTTTAGATTTGTTCTGCCCATAGAGGTTTATAAAAAAAAGAAACACCAAAATATCAATGTCAGTGGAGATGTTTGACGTGTTGAACATTCTTAGCAATGTCACTGTGTAATCTATGTTGCACCGATAGACATCGTGCATTTGACTTAACAAAGACATCTTTGTTTCATAGGTTTTGTATGGCACTGGCATATATTCAATCGCGCCTTACCCTGACCACCTGGGAAGGAATGCATGTACATATATAGATAAAATTCTATAAATACGAGAAAGGGTATGCATGAACAATTGAATTTCCTTTTGGAGTTAATATATAGAAATCTACAGGGATAGGGTATACGTGGTGAAGTACAGCTTTGAAAAGATTAATGCATGCATGATTCTACCTCATAATGTTCCAAAAAAGTTTGGGAGATGCTTCGGGGAGGTAGCTAAAGTATGACTTAGGGAATGGCTGAAGCTTGGGTTATGCTTTAGTTGAGTTGTTTGGTGTCCCTCTATTAGGTTAGTGTTGCATCGTTAAGGAAAATAAAATGGCTGAGTGGATGGAAAAAGAGCATATTGGTTCTGATATTGAAGCACAAAAAATACATTCAAATTCGTATTCGTTGTAGAGGTTAAAAGCTTGAGCCATGCAATGAAGGTACAAGAGTGGGTTATTCAACATCAGTTAAAATAGTAACACACATATCGCTAATCACTTGTTTTGATGCATGCAAGATTGACAAGAAAGGTTATATTATTGATTAGGCAAGTCGTGGAAGGATACTGCAGACGACAAAATGGTTTGCCTATGGTCTTTGTCTATCCAATGCTAATTGCTAAGGTGCCATAGAGAGTTATCCGTTAGGCTTTTGGGTAGAACTCCAGGTTGATATTGCCAATGAAAACTAGAACTTATAAGAGTGGACTTACCCTTGCAATGGCAAATAGAATCTTCTCTTCAGCAAGCTTAGGGATATGTAATTTGAAATTTGAGGAAAACAATGCTTGATTTGAGTGTATTTTTTGATATCGAGATCTAAAAAATAACAGAGATAGATAGAGAGGTAGGAATTTATCCCGAAATACGTTGAGGTGCAGCAGTTGACTAGACATCTAGGGGTAAAGCACTGTTTTGGTGCAGGCCGAAATCGAATGGATTCGGTCTTATACATACGCGAGGAAGGTAATCAAAAAAGAAAGAAGAGGAGTGCTGCGATTTCGCCCAATCAATTTATCCATTTATTATCCAAAGAAAGAACTTAAGTGCTGGAAGTTATCAATCAAAATTAACTAGCATTGTGATGGAAAATGACTTGCTCTTTGGTTTTTCCTATGACACTCATTTGCAAATTAGCAGGTTAAAGAACAAGCATAAACTTAAAAACATGAAAGATACATTAACCTGGCTCTCAGCATATCTGATGATCACTGTCTTAATTCCTGAACTATGATAATTTAGAGTAGTGAACAAATTATCTTGAAACAGGCACCAACACATTAACAGAAGTTTGAATGATTAAACTTTATATGTAATGAACTCTTTAATTCTCATTGTTACGAAGGTCTTGGTAATCCAACAAACTTATAGAACTTGGACGCAAGTAATAAATGAGATAAGTGCAACCTTGTCAATTTCTTCCAGAGAATAACACCTAAGCATAGCTGTTCATCCTTCAGGTCTGCAACCCAGTACTTAGATGATGTGCATTAATCATTTGTGACTTTGTGAGTGGTGTAGAATGTGAGGCCATACGATTAATAATTTAATATCATAGGAATTTAAAGTGCTTGGGGCTCAAGAAAGGTAGTAGGTAATAGAGGCGATAATCTTAGGAAAACCGAGGCGAGATAAGGGTGAATTATGATGATTCTTGGAGTCCAGGTGATCTCTTGACTCGACCGAAGAGAACTGATTAATGCTTTTATTGAATCATCTAAACAATCAACCTTAGGTGAAATGTCTTTTGTAATCCAGTGTTATGCACATGAGATCCTTGTGTTTCTCTTGTATGAAGGCTTAGAAACCTAGTTCATTTATTATGTTCCAAAATATACTCAATGTGGAATCATACTGATGTTAGACATGGAATCCCAAATAGCCTCAATTTGAAACCCTAATTCATGGCCATCTTCAATAAATCCAAATTCCATAAGCAAAAAACCCTTAAAACCTCGTCATCAACAAAAATAAAACACAAAAATCCTGTTGTTGCCTGCACCATTCATCTCTAAGTCATCATGTTTGAACCCCAACTTGATACCAATCACAAAGAAACCATAGACCATGGGATTGCAAGCTCTTTTTCAATATCCTAATTCCTAAATCCTTCTGCACAGCCATTTAATTACAAACACCTGAACCACATGCGATGCCACAATTCATTGGATAAAGTCAGAGACATCATTAGATCCATTAGCAAGTTCGGATTGGTCTCCTTGTCCGGTTTGAGTCGGCTCACACCTCTAAACCTTTCTTCAGTTTTCTGTGATTTTTGCTTTGACTTGACCAGCTGCTGCTTAGTCTGTTTGGTTTCTACTTTTTTTTGCTTCATTCAGGTAAGATTTTGAGGGCCGTTACTGAATGTTTTCGTAATTCTGGTTGCCATTTGCAGTTGCATGCTGTTGTGGCATATGAGACTGTTGAGGCTGCTGAGGACGCTGTAAGCTTGAAGCTCGTTTCATTTTAATTGCTATCCCTCTTATGCCATTTGTATTACAAGGTGAAGTGTTTTGGACACGCTGATTACCGTCTTCTTCAGGTTGCTACTTTAAATAATGAGCAGGACTGGAGACATGGCATGCGAGTGAAGCTTCTCAAGCGCAGGGTAACCAACTCTTTCTACAATTTTCTCTCATGATAAATGTGATGTTGCTAATAATTTCTCATTATCAGGTCAAGACTCCACAGAGGAAAAAGGGACATGATTCTGAGAAGAAAAGTAATGCCCAAGCAGATCCACCAGGGGACAAGGAGAACCAGCAATCAAGTGAGCACCATGATGATCCACCAAATGAAGAGGTAATATCATTGGGGAGGTAGAATAGTTATTGTGAGTCCCAAATTGGCTAGACTTGGACCATTTCTCAATATATGTTTGAACCTGCTTTCTCAATGGCTCTTTTGTAGAGAGTAATCTAATGAGGTTCTGCATATACTTGTATGGTATGAGAGCCAAGATCTACCAATCTAGGTATTTAATACTCTAGAAAAATCTATGCCCGTCTAGCCCCCTTTCGACATTTTGGGATAATCTGTGTTCGTCTAGCCTCCATTGAAGCAAGCTTATTGTATTCCCACTTCGGCTAACTTGGACCCTTTTTCCTCGATATATGTTGGAACCTTCTTTGTCGATGGATCTCTTGGAGAGTAATAATGGGGTTCAAAATATTCTCACATGGTATCGGAGCCAAGATCTACCACTCTAGGGACTCAATACTATAGGACAATCTATGTTTGTCTAGCATCTGTTTGGGGGGGGGGGGGCGTCAACGTCAACTAAACTTGGACAATTTCTTCTCGATATATGTTAGAACCTCCTTTCTCAAGGGCTCTTTTGTGAGTAACCTAATGGGGTTTCACATAATATCACAGATACTCTTGGTTCTTTTTAAAAATTAGAGCACTAAGAAAATATAGAAAATCAACGTATTCTGATGGTGTTGCTACTTTACGTGGGTGGAAAATCCCAAGTTTTCCCTGCACATTTCATGTTTCCTTCTCAATTTTTGTTCCCTCACTGATGTTTACTTCTAATAATTATTCTTTTATATTGCTTGACTCGAGCTTTTTAATATGTGGATGTGCGTAAAGAATGAATGGGTGATGTTCGATTATTGGTGTAAAAGAACCAAAAATCTGGAAGCATTTATGTATATCTTACTACTCAAAGTGTAGTATAATATGATCCTTGGATTATGTTTTTATGCAATTAGCATACCATTTTAGTGGTGATTGAGAAGTGAACCCATCTGTTACTGGCGTATAGTAGCTTTCCATTTTGCTTCTTTAATGGAGTTTTCTGTAATCTTCTAGCATGATGGGGAGCATCAATCAAGGGAGAAAAATGGAAACAAGGGTCAGAACTGGAGGCGTTCTAGGAAACAGAAATATCAAGGACCTAGTGGCATGGGTAAGACAAACTTATGCTTTTTTTGACTTGAAAATTTTAATCTGCTTTTTGTTTTTAAAACGTATTTACTCTCTCTGTTTTCCACTTTAGTATGTCCTAAAATAAGTATCAACTTTACAAAGTAAAGGTGAAGGATCGTATGTTGAGAAGCGTAAGAAGAGATCTGAACCCTTGATCACTTTTAATCTCATTCCTACCCATGAATTTCGTTTTAGAAGGGAACTGATCTGGTGCACCTCATTAGTTTTGACATTCAATTAGGATTGATCGAAGGGTGGAGATTTCTTCTTACGCGTCTCACTATAACTTCTTTTCTCACCGGAACCCAACCCTACAAGTAAATGTCAACTTTCCCTTTTTATCCTTAGTTATGAGATGGCGAAAGTTCCTCTAAAAACTAACTTGTTTGCATTTGCTTTGATCAGGGCATGGGAGTGAAATTCCAAAGCCCCCTCCGGGGCCAAGAATGCCCGATGGTACAAGAGGATTCACGATGGGACGGGGGCGACCATCCGTGAGTTGACAACTAGAACCAGATTTTTTTTATGTTTTATGCACTGACAAGTACGAGTATTATATGGTGGAAATCTGGATAGGAGTCCACTTGAGTTGATGTGTAAAGGTGAAATGTATTTTGAGATTGGAGGGTGGGTTCACAAGGAAGGATTGCTTTTATGATGATGGTCTGTGTAACATAAGTTATGGTGTTTTCTTGGTGGGTGGTGGGGGTTGGAATGTCCAACGAGTTTGGTACAACGCTTACCAGGTATCACTTACCTTCTAGGTTAACATGATAAAGAATTAGAATCTTACTCGGTAAAAGGCATAGCAAAGACTGAGAATCTTACCTGCCAAGTGAGGGAGAAAACTCTTACCCGGTAAAAGACGCGTACTTATGATCCATTTGGATGGTCGAAAATCTTAATAAGGTAAGTGAAGGTGGTGCTCTTGCAGGTAAGCGCTTACCTGTGGTAAATGGCCCATGAATCTTGTTATGATGCCTATAGTTCCCTTGGGGCATTAGACTACAAAAATGTGATTTTAAGCTATAATTAGTCGTTTGTTAGAGATGTACACTGAGGAGTGGAACCTGGATCGACTCGTATTGCTTTGGTTCTGGTTAAGCAACTCAACACGATGTCCTTGTGAATCTGAAGGTGCATTTGGTATGTGTGACAGTAGAGGATAAAACAATAACTTGTCCCACATTTGCCGTGATAATTATATTTGAGATTGGAACTGTGTGAGATAGAAATGTAATATTATTTTCATACCACTAAAGTAGGTGGAAGAAAAATCTAGGAGATAGGACAAATTTATCGAAGTATTGAACTATTCATATTAAATTAAAACCCTAAAACTTTGTATAAGTAGGAGGCAAATACAAGATTGTGATCACAAATGGAATTTCGATTGCCTTCTACACGTATCTTCCATGCTCATTGCATTCCCTACTCTTTTACAAGTTTTAACACACGTTCCTATTTGCACCATGCTTTCAAAATAATCTCCACTTTAATCAACTTGATTCACTATTTTTGTATCTGTGCTATTTTATGAGTATCTCGATTAATTTTATGGGGCCTTAGAAAACAACCATGGAAATACTTTGTTAGTATCTTTACTCAATTTACTCATAGCAAAAACAATATCCTGTCTAGTGCAATACATTGCATACATCATGCATCCTATTGCACTATCATACTCTAGTTGAGCCATCACTCTACCAAAGTTTTTATCAAGTTTCACAATTGAATCAAATAGAGTGTTAAACTCCTTTACGTTCAGACATTGAAACTTGGTCAGTATCTTCTCTATGTGGTGGGATTGACTTAGAGACATTTGAGATACTGACCTAAATTTTAACTATCACGTGATGAACAAGGAGGATTAAAGGCCAATGTTTGTTCTGATCTTTTAGCATCATTTGAAACTTATCTTCAAAGAATTCGACATCCCTAGATTCTACTGTAATTCTTGATTCTTTGTCTAATAATCTATAAGCCTTGTTGTTTCTCACATATCCAACGAATACGCTTTTAATATCAGGGGCTCCCAATTTAGATCTTTTTGGATCAGGGGCTCGATAGTAGGCAATATATTCCCAAACTCTAAAATAGTTCAAGTTTGGTTTCCTTCTTTTCCAGAGCTCATATAGGTTGGTTGGAATCACATGACTAGTAATTCAGTTATGACTTTGGCAGGCAGTTAGCAGAGCTTCTTCCACATATTGTTTGCAGACCCGATTGGTTCAACATACAGTTGACCATTGCAACAAGGGTTCGGTTCTTTCGTTTCGCCAAGCCATTTTGTTGATGAGTAAATGGTGAGGTGTGTTCATGTTTGATACCATTCTCTTCGCACAATGTATCGAACTCTCTATTAAAATATTCACCACCTCTGTCTGATTAAAATATTTTGAATCGTTTTTCAAGTTAATTTTCTACTTCAACTTTATATAATTTAAAGACTTCAAAAGCTTCATCTTTTGAGTGCAATAAATAAACAGGTAAAAACCAACTAAAGTCATCACATAACATAATGAAATACCTTTTACCTCCTCGGGTAAGTATTCCATTCAATTCAAAAAAATATCGCAATGAACCAACTCTAAAATTGATATTTCGTTTAACTGATGGAAAAGGTTTCTTAGTAAATTTTGATTTTACTTAGGTTTCACATTTTCCAAAACCTTTGCTGTCAATTTTGATCAACCCTTTATTTTGCATTTTTTCAGCATTTTTACATTTGTATGAGCTAAAGTTTTTGCCATAATGAAATAGAACAAACAAAATACTCTAAAGAATCAATTTTATTCATAGCATAGAGAATTACATCAATAGTAGAAATAGAAAAATCAAGACCGTCATCAGACATAACTAACACATTACTACCCACAGATTCACTAGGTCTAGCCTCCAGATGATCATCATCACTCAGATTTAGGCGATAGCACCTAGCTGATAGTATCCTTTTTCCAATAAAGGTCTTTCTTTTGTAGATCATGAGCTTTCTTTCCTCAGTGTTTAGTCCAAACCCGTTTTCATCGAGCTTGTTAGCATAAACAAGGCTCTTATTAATAGAAGGCACGTGAAGAACATTCATGAGAGTGACGGTCTTTCCGGAAGTGAATTTAGTAGCACAGTACCCATTCCAACTATGTTAGCACGGCCGTTGTTAGCTACAATAACTTGTTTACCCTCTCGGACTGGTCTATACAATAACTTGTTTACCCTCTCGGACTGGTCTATAACTTAGATTTGGAGTCACACACATGAATCGTGGCTCCAAAATCTAAGTACCAACCTCCTCTTCCAGCCACAATTCTAGTTGAGCCCTCTGAAATCATGTCAATTTCTTCCACATGAAGATTCGCCACAAGGTTCTGAATCCCTTCAACAGAGTTTGCAGCAGGTGGTCTGGACTTCCTTTCCTTGCATTCACGAGCACAGTGTCCCGTCTCTCTGCAAACGTGACACTTTCCAACACTTTGGCCTCATCTAATGATGACTCGAGCCAAGGCATGTGTATTCAATCCCAAACACTTTGCTCAAACCGACTTATTTAAAGCTCTTATTGCATCTACTGAACCTAAAGGTTTTAAGTCTGTCGTTATGCATCCTCAACGGGTTGCTGCTGTGGAGGAGGACATTTTTTCCCTTGGTGCCAATCATACGTGGGATCTAGTTCCCCGTCCCAACAACACAAAATATTATTGGTTCTAAGTGGGTCTTCTGCACCAAATATCACTCAGATGGTTCAATTGAGAGTCACAAAGCGCGCTTAGTTGCTCAAGGGTTTACTCAAATCCCCGATTTTAACTATTCTCACACATTTAGCCAGGCCACCACAGTCCGCATTATCATTTCACTTATTGGTATGAGAAAATTGGGATCTTTATCAACTTGACGTTAAGAAAGCTTTTCTTAATGGTCGGTCTTTCAGCTATGATTGTATTTACAAAGCATCCTCCACCAGGTTATATTGATGCTCTGTTTCCGAATCATGTTTGTCGTTTGAGAAAAGCACTTTATGGGATTAAGCAAGCCCCTCGTGGATGGTTCCAATTTCCAAAGGCTAGTAACTTTATTTCTCTCCTTGGGTTTCGATGTAGCCATGCAGACACTTCCTTGTTCATATTTCAGCAAGGATCCTCGATTATGTATTTACTACGACATCATTCTCACCGGTAAATGACTCTTGCATGGTTTGTTGGTTCATTTCTCGCCTCAACTCAGAATTTGTGATTAAAGATTTGGGACGTCTTAATTATTTTTTGGGGCTTGAGGTAACTTACACTTCAAATGGTCTTTTTTTTAGTGAAGCAAAATATGCTCGTGACATAGTTTCTCGAGATGATCTTTAGACTCCAAACCAGTGCCCACTCTACTAGCAGCTTGTCAAAATCTCTCTGGTACTTGTTCTTCTTTACGAGATCATACTTTGCATCGCTCTTTGGTTGGTGCTTTACAATACTTGACTATCACTCGGCTAGATTTGTCATAGGTTGTTAAGTTTGTGAGTCAATTTCTTCAACAACCAACTATTGATCACTTTCAAGCTATCAAACGAATTCTTCGCCATGTCAAAGGCATAATACATTTTGGTCTCTCATGCTCTCGAGGCACTTCCTCCTCATCAGTTGGATATTCTGATGCATATTGGACTCGTTGTATTGAAACAAGGTGTTCCACCTATAGCTACTTAATCTTTCTCGGTTGCTATCTCATTTCTTGGATACTTAATCTTTCTCGGTTGCTATCTCATTTCTTGGAGTGCTAAGAAACAACCCACATTCTCATTCTAACTAGGGATCTTGTATCGTGCATTAGCAAATGTATGTTTGGGCCACTTATTTGCTACCGAATCGACCACTTATTCTATGTGATAATCATAGTAGCATTTTTCTTAGCCAGAATAAGCGTGCCAAATTAACACATCGATATCGGTTATCATTTTGTTCGGGAACTTGCTACACTATTTGTTCCATCAAACCTTCATTTTCACAAAAAGCTTACGTCTTCGAATTTTTCCGAACCAAGATCTGCGTCAAACCTCACCCCCCACAATTAAGTGAAATTCGCTTGTATTCATATATGGCCTATTGCAATTCATCTCAGCTCAAAAGGAAAAGATTATTTTCAAACAAAAATGTAAAATTATGAAAATACCCTTTTGTTAACAAAAACAAATTTAACAAAGTTAGTAATAAGGCAGGCAATCAACGATGGAAGCAAAGCAACAATTCTAGAGACACAATTTATAATTTTTAGACAGCCCTAACCACAAGCTCATATCTATAGTTTACTCTTAATGTTATTTAAGATAAGAAACTAATTCATACACCAATTTGATTTAATGTTACTAGAAGGGTATTCGTGCAATGCAACGAGATACATTTAATATTATAATGCGATTTTATGTGGTTTTGATAAAATGAAAATGATTTTATTTTTGAATGAAATATAAATTTGAAAAAAATTAATCGATATTAGTATTAAACTAACTATTTAAAAGTTCTCATTTTTGTGTAATTTCTTTAACTCAATTTTTTATTATAATTTAATTGAAGTTTAATAACGAACTAATTTATTTTTAATAAAATGATTTTTTTTAGATAATAATTAAGTATTCTGTTAGAAGTCAATGATTTTTTATATTTAAAATGATGTTTATCATATATTTGATTATGTTTA